TGTTAGTATTGCTATCACCTTCCATCTTTACCTTCTCCTTGTCAGGCCCAAACCATTCTTCCTGCTGCTTTGCCTGATGGCTACTCAGCTGGGACCCCCCTCTGGCACTAAATCTCCTCCTACTAGTAACAGACTTTGGGGGCAGTCCCAAATGAGAAATCTGTTTCTTAGCTGGGTGACTTTCCATAAATCACTTAACCTCTCTGAACTTCAGTTCCTGATATGTCAAAAAGAGAATCATAATAGCCATGATCATTCTCGGATAAATCAGTGGCATAAAGAATGGTAGGGAAGGGGATTGTTATAGATTAAAAGAGATTAATGAGAAAAAAAACAACAAAATGCTACGTGTAAGACCTTATTTGGATCTGATTTGACAAATTAACTAAAAAGACACTTGAGGGCTTCCCTCGTGGCGCAGTGGTTAAGAATCTGCCTGCCAGTGCAGGGGACACAGGTTTGAGCCCTCGTCCGGGAAGATCCCAAATGCCGCGGAGCAACTAAGCCCGTGCGCCACAACTATTGAGCCTACTCTCTAGAGACTGTGAGCCACAACTACTGAGCCCGCGTACTACAACTGCTGAAGCCTGTGAGCCTAGAGCCCGTGCTCCGCAGCAAGACACTGCAATGAGAAGCCCACACACTGCAACGAAGAGTAGCCTCCGCTCGCTGCAACTAGAGAAAGCCCGCGTGCAGCAGCGAAGACCCAATGCAGCCAAAAATAAATAAAATTTATTTAAAAAAAAAGACATTCGAGACAATCAGCAGCCTCTGAGAATGGTCTGGGATTTAGATAATATTAAGACATTTTTGTTATTTTTGCTATGATAATGGCATGTGATTATGTAAAAAAAATCCTTATCAGTTAGAAATGCTTACCAAAGTACTTATGGGTGAAATGACTCGATGACTAAGATTGGCTTTAAAATATTCTAGAAAATAGTAGTTTGTTGGGGGTATAGATGAAGTAAGACTGGGGAAATGTTGAAAAGAATTGAATCTGGGTTTGGTCACATGAGTTCATTATACCATTCTCTCTACTTTTCTATGTTTGGGATTTTCATTAATAAACAGTAAAAATGAAGATGCGTGGAGACTTGCAAAGAGCAAAGCAGTAAAATGTGGTAGTTAAGCGCTCTGGGCTCAGATGCGCCACTGATATTCCACGTTTGTCTCCGTCTGTCAGTCCATAGCTTCACAGCGTGTTCTAATAACTGGTAAGGATACCGTTTTATAACTTCCTGCTTCTGATGCTGGCTCTGCCACTCACTGGCTGGGGGACTTTGGCCAAGTGACTTAACTGCCCTGAGCCTCTATAACTCAGCTGGAAAACAGGGAAAATCATGATCCCTGCCTCACTGAGTTATTTTGAAGACTGAACAAGAGGGAAGGATGGAGGGACTTCCCTGGCAGTCCAGCGGTTAAGACTGGACACTTTCACTGCAGGGGGCACGGGTTCAATCCCTGGTCGGGGAACTAAGATCCCTGCATGCCGAACGGCCTGGCCAAAAAGTAAAAAAAAAAAAAAGAGAGAGCAGGATGGATGGAAAGGGCTTAGCACAGTGCCTGGCATGCAATAAGCACTAAATAAATGTTTCAGTGTGAGGAGCACAGGTTTAGCAGTCAGGCTACCTTGGATGTGAACCCCAGCTCAGCTCTGCTACTTGTGGCTGTGTGACTCTGGCCAAGCCAATTAACTCTCTGAATCTCATTTCTTCCTGGAAAAAACAAAGATCAAAATATCTCTCTTGCAGGGCTGTTGTGAAGATTAAATGACAAGACATGTTTTGCTGCCCAGCATGGCCTATGTGAGAATTTCCTTTTCTCACCCCTTGACTTTCAACAGTGCTGGCCTTGCCAGCTCCCAGGCTGGAGTCGATCCCACTGTCTATTTGCGTGGCTTTTGCACCTGAACTGCCAAGTGTGGCTAGAGAAAGTCAACAGAGCCACGTGAATGGCTCCTCTCAAATGGCAAATCCGTGTTGACAGACATCAGCAAGGCTCTTCTGCCCACAGACAGTCCTTCCACCCCTCTCTAGGGCACTTCCTCCTATGCTTCACACACTCAGGCTCCTCTTCTCCCTGCCTCAGCCTCAGAAGGTGACCTCAACTGTCTCTTGACTGACGGAGGTTTTCAACATGAGCACATTTCTCTCCATCTCCCAACACCGCTAATTCTAACCTCCATCCTTTCCTCTCTCTCACCCTCCCAACTCAAAGGTTGGAGTGTCCCTCTCCTTCCCAAGGCTTTAAGATTTATGCCATCAACCCCAACACCCAGCTCCACTGTCTGTACCATCTCAGCCAAAAAAAAAACTCGCTCAACTACCTCAATCTCCCCCAAGTCTGACAGTAACCCTGCTGCTTCTATGTTTAATTTGCTCATTCACTCATCCACCCATTTAAGAAACATTTCTTTGTGCCTACTACGTGCCAGGTGCTGGAGGTACAGAGACAAATAGAGACAGTCTTTGCCCTCAGTCTTCTAAGTCCAGAGGGAGAGCCAGACTCACAGCTGGCAAGATGACAAGTGAGATGTAAAGGTGGACCCATGTTTGATGCAGAGATTGACTGGATGTGCAGGAAGGAGGAAGGAGGAGCCCCAGGATGGCTCTCAGCTTTCTGGTCTGTGCAAATGGCTGGATGGGAGTGCTGTCCACCGAGACATGAGACAAGGAAAATGGAAGCAGGAGCTTGGTTGGGGGGGAGGCGGGGAGGAGATGGTGTGTTCTGTTTGGGGTATGATGAGTTTGAGGTGCTATGGGGACATCCCAGTGGAGATCTCCAACAAGTCTTCAGCTTAAGGGAGAGAGGGGTCTGAACTGGAATTAGAGATCTGAGGATCATCGGCGTGGAAGAGTTGGAGTCATGAATGGACATAGAGTGCCCTCTGCTACAAGTAACAGATTTAATTACGCTGTCCTGACATTCGTTATCTCACGTTTCAGAGGGCGCTTCTGGGGGTGGGTAGACTGGCAGCACAATGATGGCATCAACGACCCCAGTGCTTTCTGTAGTTCATCTTTGCCATTCTAGGGAGTTGATTTCCTTTTCAGACTTGTCCCTTCTTGATTGCAAGATAGCTGCCTCACCCTCTCATAACCTCATTCAAAGGCAAGAATGAAGCTTTCTTCTTGCACTTTACTTTTTACAGGGAGGAAATCCTTTATCTTTAGCCCACCTACACTAGCCCTTGGATCTCCTTGACCATAACTATGCCACTTAGGCAAAAGAGAATGGGATTCCACGATAGGCTGAAGCCTTCGTCTCCTGTGGCAGTGAAAAGGCCCTCCTTCCTGGAGAACGGTGCTACCTTACGCCTGAACAAAACTGAGCAAGGAAGAAAAGATGGCCTCTTTTCAACTCTCATCCTCCTCCAGTCCCTGGCTGGCCTGGCAGTGTTGACCTACAGTTCAGTAGAGACTTGAAGAGCTTGGACTCCTGAGTCAAGCATATCTGGGTTTTGTCCTAGGGCCCCTTCTTACAACCTGTGTGACTTCATACAAGTTATTTTACTTACGTTGCTGGCTATTGAGATGATGAAATGAAATAATGTGTATGAATTGCTTAGCCCAGTGCCCAGCATACAGTAGGTGCTCAGCTAAGACCAGCCATTGACATTTTGGGAGGACTACCCTCTCCTTGAAATTGCCCACTCCTTGTCCCCTAGGCCCCCTCCTCTTTCTGTGACTGGTTGCCCTTCTTCTTCTCCTTCCCGTTCCCCTTCCTAAGTTTGGCTCTTATGCCTTCACTACTCACTAGCTCTCGTCTCAGGGCTCCAACCATCAGCTCCTCTCCAGGCTGAGGCCATCAAACCCCCTCTCCTGCTGCCCCTCTTTCGTGAGATCATGGACACTCCTCCTGTAGGTTCTACAGCCTGTTAGGCTCATCCTGAGGCCTGATGTTACTGCTCCCGCTCTTGCCCCAGCACCTTATACCAATGTCCCTTTGCATGACATTCTACCTTAAAGACAGCCGTTGGAACTGCTCTAATGACTTCTACCTGCTGACATGGACGACGGTCAAGAAGGATGTGGAGAAAAATTTAAATTTGTGCAGAGAGCAGACAGGAACATCTGGATAATGTCTAAGTGGTTAGGTAGGGCTTCGTGGCACTAGGTGATATTTATTTCTGTCTGTCTCCCTCCCTAGGCTGTGAGTATCTCAGGGCAGGGAAAAGGATTACTCATTTATCTATCACCTTGGTACCTGATGTATAATTAGTACTCAGAAAATGTCTGATGAATGAATAAGATTCCTGGCTTTGCCACTTACTTTCCAAGTGACTTTGAATAAGGTCCTTTCTTTCTTAGACCTCAGTGTCAAAATCTATAAAATGAGGGAACTAGACTCTGTCTCAAGGGAGCCCTTTCAGTATTAAAGTGGAATTAGGGACTTTCCTGGTGGTCCAGTGGTTAAGGCTTCATGCTTCCACTGCAGGGGGTACGGGTTCAATCCCTGGTTTGGGAACTAAGATCCCGCATGCGTTATGGCCAAAAAAAAAAAAAGTGGAATTAGTGGTGGAAGGATGGAGGGATGGGCTAGCCTGAGTGTGTGGGGTGGGGGTGGGGGGGGGGGGGCGGGGATGGGGCGGGACCAAGGTCTTTAGCAACATGCTGTGCTGGGGATGGGCCTCATCTGGGGACAGACCTGATTTAGGTCAGTGAGAGGGCACCGGCTATTAACCCCACAAATCCCAGTGGCCCACTCCCTCCTTACCAGCCTACTGTGGGAGGAGACTAATTTTTGGAGGAAACTCTGGGTACCCAGTCCTGCCCCAAGCCTGTCCACGAACAAGCTGTTCTTGTTTACGACCCCCGTCCCAAGGGAACAGTGATTGCTCATCCTTACATGTGATTTGAGAAGGCTGGTCTTTCGGGCCTGGAGGAAACTCAAGCCTCGCCAGCCGCTTGGCATTGGAATTCTCAGCTGGTCCCTTCCTGGGGCTCATGTGACCAGGGTCCAGCTATAAATATCAGAGGGGCCACAGACCAAGGCAGAATTTGGGCTCCAGGAGAAGAAGGCAAAGAGGCTCCAGGCGGGTATTCTGTGACAAAGGCAAGACCCCAGATCTGCTTAGAGCGAGGCAGGTGAAGGAGACAGCCAGGTGGGTCCCCACGTCTCCTGACAGTATGGATTATAAGTCAAGCCTGATCCAGGATGGGAACCCCATGGAGAACCTGGAGAAGCAGCTGATCTGCCCCATCTGCCTGGAGATGTTTACCAAGCCAGTGGTCATCTTGCCTTGTCAACACAACCTCTGCCGGAAGTGTGCCTGTGACATCTTCCAGGTCAGTGCTGGGCATGGCCTAGAACTGGGGCCTCAGGCAGCTACTCAGTTTTCCTGCAGTGAAAACTAAAAGAAAACTTCTCTCTTAGCCCAGGACCCTTCCAAACTGGGGCTGTTTTATCCCCCTCTGAAGTGAACCCCTGCAGAGGCCTCTGGAAGGGGCCGAGGCGGGTAGGGAAGCAGCTCTGGCTGCCCCATTCCTTCTCCATGACGTACATTTCCCCTCCGCACCCTGCCTGTAGCTACTCCACCGCAGTTGACTCTCCAATCAGGATTCCAAAAGCCTCAAGTGATAAGTGGGAGAGACAGGCGGAGAGGGGAGAGAAACCAGACCCTGGGGGCTGGAGCCAGCTCCAAAGTGGCAGGGTGCCTAGAGTTTTAGGAGGAGGGTGGCCGAGAGGCACTGAGCCATAGAGGCATCTTCCCCTTTGAAGCTGTTCCCTATATAATATGGTGCAGGAGGGACTTCATCTCTCTAAGAAAAGAATGGGAGCGATGTGCATCCTGGTTGGGAGGCAGGCCTCAAAGTTCCCCAGAAGCACTTTACAGGATGATCTCTCACTATTTTTTCTTTAAAGTAGCAGCCCTAGGAGCTGGCTCTAATTATATGCCCATTTCATAAATGGGCAAACTGAGGCTTGGAGAGAAAAAGTTGCTCGCCTGAAGTCATTCAGAGAATTACTGTGACTTGAGCCTAGGTCTGCCGACCTCCAAACCTGTTGATTGCTTGGTTACTTCTCAGGTGCTCCCTGTGTAAGGAGGCTGGTTCTCTCATTTCAGGATAGGGAGCTTTAAGTCATCTTGGGGTGAGCAGGGGGAAGGATAGTCGGAGGTCAGAAAGGGAAGGAGTTGAGGAGGGAGCCCAGGCCTCACCTCTGCCCTTGTCACCAGCAGGCTGCAAATCCCTACTGGGCCAACCGGGGTGGCTCAGTGTCCATGTCTGGAAGCCGTTTCCGATGCCCCTCCTGCCGCCATGAAGTGATCATGGACCGTCATGGAGTGTACGGCCTGCAGAGGAATCTGCTGGTGGAGAACATCATTGATATCTACAAGCAGGAGTGCTGCAGGTCAGTTCACCCTGCAGCTGGGAGGCCATCCCCTCTCCCCAGCTCATCCTCTGAGCCCAGCTCTCCAAGGCCCCATCCTCCTTCATCTGCTCAGGATCCAGTCCCCTAGCTGGAAGAGCTATGCTAGCCAATCCAGAGAGCCATCTCCCTCTTCCCCAGGCAGGAGCGGAGGCTCACCTTATCCCGCAGCCCTGGCTTTTGGTGTCACCCAGTGAATGGGAGGGGATCCAGACATTAGGCTGTCCTCCTGGAAGATACTGAGACAGAAACCAGGGGAAAGATGAGATGTAAGAGGGAGAGAGAGGCACTGGAGCCAGCTAAGTGGCCCTGATAAGCAGAGAAGCCACCCAGTGAGAACATAGCCAGTTTCTCTATAGTGATAACACCAGCGCGAGACACTGGGAATGCTTCCTGCTGCTGCTCCGTGACAATCCTACGGATCAGCATGGCTTTCATCATCCCTGTTTCATGGATGAGGAAGCTGAGGCTCAAAGAGGTGAAGTCAATTACCCAAGGTTTCCCAGCTGACAAGTAGAATTGCTGGGACTGGGCCCAGTCCATCTAGCTCCAAGTCTCCCTATTTGTGAAATAGCCACTCATTCTCAGGCAGAATTTGTGCGTGGTCGAAGTTGTGCAGTGTTGGGCCTCAAACTGGGGAGAGACACAGCTACCAGGGAGATCTCTACAAATCAGGACATCCTGACAAGACTTCCAGGCTGCTGACCTCATGGCCCTTGTGGTCCCAAACCTTCACCAAGTGCCTGCCTACAGGCAGTGTCTGGCCCCCCAAAAAGGTGACAGACCAATCCTCGCCTGAGAAAGCTCTGACCTGAGAACTGTGTTTGCTACTCTGACTCTGTTACTCATGCAGTGTAGAATACTGGGTAAGTCTTTGGGCCTCCTTTTCCCCTGTCTCCAGAAAGGGACAGTAAGATTTGTTATTGTGACTGTCATATAGGATTTTGATGGGAAATGTTAAAGATATCAAATATTTATTGAGCAGCTACTGTGTGCAGGCACTGCACTAAGTATTTTCCGTGCATTATCCCTGTTTAATTCTCACAGTAATCCTGTAAACCATTCTTATCCTCATTTTCTGATGAGGAAGTGGAGGCTCTGAAAGGATCAGAGGTTTGTCCTAGGCCACTCAGCTAGCAAGTGGTGAAGGTGAGAGGGAGCCTGTCTGACTGACTGCCCAGTGAACATTCTTAACCGCTACTGCCTCTTATGTAGCTAGAGTTCAACACTACAAAAATGCAATGATATCGTTGATCATGATAATAATAATAATAAAATCAATATTGCACCAGAATAGTAGCCCACCCAGTGTCGACCTAGGAAGAGCATGTTGTCAAGGCCTTTCCATGATAATAGTTGTTGAGGGTCTGCTCTGTGCCAGGCACTGCACATTCAGCACAGACAATTCCTGCCATGATCCCAGGAGCTCTGGGATGAAACCAAGGCTCAGAGAGGTGAAATCATTTGTCCAAGGTCACAATGAGTAAGTGGCAGAACAATCTGGATTTGAACCCCGATGTTGGTGCCTGGGGCTGGGAGGATAGGCAACTGGGATGACAGAGGACACAGGTACCAGACCCTCAGGATCTTGCCTCACCTCTGCACCTACTGCCGCCCCAGAGCTCCCTTCCCAGGGGATAGAGACAGGTGGCAAAGGGAGAGCCCTGCCAGCATGGGGGGACCCTGGGCTAAAAGATGCAAAAAGGTAAGTCTGGAAAGGGGCCTATTTAAGACCCTGAGGGGACAATAATGCCCAGGGTGTGATCGGCCATGCAAGGTTCTTTGGAGGGGAGGCACTGACATGATGGAGGACGGTCATTCTGAGCTGCCTGCTGTGTTAGGGGCTGGGAAAGCAGAGGTGTGTAGATGTGCTCTTGGCTCTAAATGAGTGTATAGTTAGCTGGGGCAGTAAGACCTAGACCCAAAAAATGGAATCTCGGGGAGGAAGTGACCCTGAGAGAAACACAGAAAACATGCCAGAGGCCCCAAAAGGAGAGAGAGAGACAAAGGGAGAAAGTCATCCTAAGAGTGTGTGTTTGGGAGGAAACAGAAAGAAGCGATTCTGGACCCTGGAAAGAATCTCAGACTGGAAATCAAGGCTTGTGCTGGGCCATTGGATGGCCCTGTGTTGCCCATGTTCTAGTTGTGTGACTTGGGGCACACATAATGCCTCTCTCTCAGAGCCTCGGGGCGCCTTCATGGCATGCTTACTGATTTATTCTTTCTACCTGTATTTAATTACCACCTTCTCCATGCCAGGCACTGTACACTGTAGATTCAGGGGGTGAAGGGAATAGGCAAGCTTCCCGGCTTTGGTGGAGATTACAGTCTGGTGGATTAAATATAGAATTCAATGAGGCCATGAATATAAATTGCTTTGCTCAGAGCCCAGCCTGCTGTACCCAAGAGCATGGGGACTATAATTAGAGCAAATGAACTCTAGCCTCCCATGCCCTGACTTGCTGGGTGACCTTGGGCAAGTCAATTCACCTTTCTGGGACCCAGTTTCCTCTTCTTGGAAATGTCTCAAAATGACTCTGGGATTCTGCAATCCTTCCCATGTCCTGTACTGGCAAGGCCTAGGGCCAACTCCATCACTGGACTTTGAATCCTAGTCTTGGTGTCATTGGCTTCCCTGGTCCTGGGTCCTCAGAGGGTGGAAAGAAAAGGGTTTGGGACAGCCCACCACTGAGAGCTTGGGTCATGGATCTGGGGTGGCCTCCTGGGGCTGGGGGAGGAGACAGGGACTCGAGACTCCCACCTCGTGACTTATGACTCTTCTCCACTTCAGTAGGCCCCTGCAGAAAGGCAACCACCCCATGTGCAAGGAGCACGAAGATGAGAAAATCAACATCTACTGCCTCACATGTGAGGTGCCCACGTGCTCCATGTGCAAGGTGTTTGGGGTCCACAAGGCCTGCGAGGTGGCCCCACTGCAGAGTGTCTTCCAGGGACAAAAGGTGCTGACCTGAGCTACTTCCACCCCCAGCCCGAGCCTGCTGGACATATGATTCAGGATGCAGATTTGATCCCTATAGATCTGCTGAGCCGGCCTTTCGGGAATAGTCACCCTGGAGGGACTTCCTGCCTGCAGGGCCAGCAGCCCTTGCCTTCCCTGGGGAGGTGGCTGAACTCATGAGTTATACTTAGAGCCACTTGAGAGCGTCTGGGTGTGGCCCCAAGGGAGAGGGCAGGTCCCAGGGCCAGGCCACCAGGGCCCTCTCTGGCCACGACTTCTACCACCCAGTGTGGTTTGGGTCCCAGATACCCCTTCCTGTGCTGGTCACCTCTCCCTGGATCCCTCTGCAGCAGGAGGCAGCCGAGAGTCCTCTCCCCGGGCCTCTGGGCCTGTGGGAGCCCCGCCATGCTGTACATGCAGTAAGCGGTGGCTCCCCTTTCTATACTCTTTCCTCCCCACCTCCTACTCTTCTCTTGATCTCTCTCTTCTAGAATTCTCCAACCTCTTTCTTTTATGGATCCCTCCATTCCTAGAAACAAGCCCCTCCTCTGCCAGCACATTGTGGTGTATTTTGGGCAGCTCATTTCCCCTCTCTGGGCCTCATCTGTAAAATGAGGGACGCAGTATCTCTCTGATATTTTCTGCTCTGGAGCTGAGCTGTACCTCAGAAAGAGGCTCTTTCTAGCAGAGAGGGGAGTGAGGGTGCCGTTTTGCTGCCACGCCCCAGAGGGCAGGCCCTGAGACTATTTTTGTCTCTCTTCTCCTGATCCCCCACCCCTTCCTCCCGTCTAGACTGAGCTGAGTAACTGTATCTCCATGCTGGTAGCAGGGAACGACCGTGTTCAGACCATCATCACTCAGCTGGAGGACTCCTGTCGAGTGACCAAGGTGAGGGGAAGACTAGCTCTGCCTGGAGGTTCGAAGCCTCCCAGCGCAGCTTGGTCTCTGGGGTGTTCAAGCAGGGATGGTGGGGGAGGGACTGACTAATCAATTCATCCACGCATTCAACAAACGCTTCCTGAGGACAGCTGTGTGTCAGGCTCAGCCAGAGGTGCTGAGGATGTGGCGGTGAGCAAGACAGACCAGGTCCCTGACTTCAGGCAGTGTCCCACCAATAATTCCCAGCATTTATTCAGCACGAGTAGCTTTTAGAACATTGTTCTCCAGTGTGCTGTAGACTAAAGCTTCTCAAACTTGAATGTGCATGCAAACCACCCTGGGATCTTGTTAAAATTCAAGTTCTGATTCAGTAGGTCTAGAATGAGGCATGAGATTCTGCTTTTCTAACAAGCTGCCAGGATTTGCCCAAGTTGCTAGTCCATGGACTACACTTTGAGTAGCAAGGCTGTAGAGGCAGAAGGCAACTTTTCTATCCCTGCAAAAGCACCCATGATTTTCCATCTCCCCTTGTGGGGACCTGGAAATGAGGTGGGGGAAAGGGATCATTATATTTCTGGTGGACAAAAGAGTTGTGTGAAGGATAGGTTTAAAGGAAGGAAGAGGGATGTTGTTATTACCCATAACAACATAATAACATAACAACATAATAACTGGGAGGGGCTCCCGGTCTCACAGAGGATACTAGAGCCCCCAGTCTGATGAGATGCTATTGTTATACCTACTTTATAGGTAAGGAAACGAAGATTAGCATCAGTGTTGGACAGAAGGAAGCCTCAATGTGGAGGCCACTAGGGGAGGAGCAGCTTCTCCACCTCTCAGATGACCAAATGATGCAGAGCTTCCCAAATCTGGTCTTGGTCCTAAAATGGGAGGAAGACTGTGACTTGGGGAGGCCCACATACATCATCCCATCTGACCTTAGAGTCTCTACTTTTTTTTTTTTTTTTTTTTTTTTGCGGTACGCGGGCCTCTCACTGTTGTGGCCTCTCCCGTTGCGGAGCACAGGCTCCGGACGCGCAGGCTCAGAGGCCATGGCTCACGGGCCCAGCCGCTCCGCGGCACGTGGGATCCTCCCGGACCGGGGCACGGACTCGCGTCCCCTGTATCAGCAGGCGGACTCTCAACCACTGCGCCATCAGGGAAGCCCAGAGTCTCTACTTTTGACGAAAGGTGTAGCTTTCTCTATGACACCAGCCTCCACATGTTTCTGGTGTGCTAAGGGGCTAGGAAACCTTAGCAAAAGCTTTCTTCTTGCTAAGGCTTCATTTCGTGTTCTGTGAAATGGGGGTGCAGTCAATCTCCCCCAGCTTCAGACTTTTTATTCCTAGCACACCCATCCCAAGAAAGAAGCATTGGGGATAGGATGGAGGGCCTGCAGGATGTGACTCCAAGATTTCTGTCCCCAGGAGAACAGTCACCAGGTGAAGGAAGAGCTGAGCCGGAAGTTCGACGTGCTGTACGCCATCCTGGACGAGAAGAAGAGTGAGCTGCTGCAGCGGGTCACGCGAGAGCAGGAGGAGAAGCTCAGCTTCCACGAGGCCCTCATCCAGCAATACCGGCAGCAACTGGAGAAGTCCAGCAAGCTGGTGGAGACAGCCATCCAGTCCCTGGACGAGCCTGGCGGGGCCATCTTCCTCTCGGTGAGCAGGACCGGGAGGGTGTGGGCACTTCAGCTCCACAGCTCTGTCTGAGGGTCAAGTCGTGCTTCATCCCTGATCACCAAAGAATGTGCCCTTGGGCAAGTCATTTAATGCTCTCCAAGCCTCAGTCTTCTCATCTGTAAAGTGAGCATGTAACAGTTCCTACCTTCTTTCCTCTTAACTGATTTTATGAGGATCATATAAAAGGATGTTTGTGAAATGGCTTTGCAAGCCGCAAAATACAGTGTCCACGTAGAGACGATTAACTGAGCACCTGCCATAGGCCAGCCACTGAGGTGGAGACACAGATGAACGAGACACAGCCCTACCCTAGAAGAGCTTCTTGGGGGAGACATAAAAAGATCAGCTATAAGATTTTGTGAAGGAAGAGTAAAGTTCAATAAAAATTTCCTAAGCACGTACTGTGGGCCAGGCTTTGTGCTATACATTGGGTATAAAAAGGTGATTAGGTATCATTCTCATCTTGAAGATTTCAGAGTTTAAGAGGGTTTAGACTGATACTCCTAGAATCCAAGCTTCCTGCCAGGACAATGGGAGGGTCCTAGGATGATGAGCAAGATGTGTGCAGACGATGGACAGAGGGAAAATCCAAGTTGTGTTCTGCTGAAACTCAGGAGCGGGTCACAGCTGGGCTAGGGAACGGCATCAATTGCCCATCTGCAGAGCCCAGTCACTGGTTTTGCTGATTTCCTGGGGCTACCCATTCTGCAGTCCTAACCCTTTGCTCTTTCTTTTCCCCCACAGAGTGCCAAGCAACTCATCAGAAGGTCAGTGTCTCTCCGGGTCTATGATCCAAGGCCCCAGCTCCCTTCAGGGCCTCTGACTTCTGTCCAGAGGGCCTCCTCCTTTGCATTAGGTCTGCTGGGAGGGTCTCACCCCAGGATAGCTTTCCTGGCCTTTGCACCCCTGCTTTCTTGGACCATCCATTCTGCTTGTGACTTGAGAGGAAATACTCCATCCTCCAGGGGGAGTCACTGGGTGCAAGGACTGGGTGTGGGCACAAGCACGCACACTGGTATAAGTTAGGGCTAAAACAACTCCTTCCTTCTCTGAGGCCAGAGATCTCACTGTGCTCCCACCCCACCCCTTCTTCTCTCTCCCCTACAGCATTGTGGAAGCGTCCAAGGGTTGCCAGCTGGGGAAGATAGAGCAGGGCTTTGAAAACATGGACTACTTTACTTTGGACTTAGAGCACATAGCAGACACCCTGAGGGCCATCGACTTTGAGACAGGTAAGGGACTATTTTCCCCCCAAATCAGCTTCCCTCCCACTGAGCCCCACATAGAGGCAGATACACTAGCAAAGACGCCCAGATATCAGTTAAATTCATACAGCCAACTTCTGGATGAGCCCAGAGCCCACCACAGTGCCTGGTACATAATTGCTGCTCAATTAATTATGTATGGATCTGCTATAGAGAGGAACCTGGGGGCAATAGAAAGAGCTTGGCAACTGGAGTCAGGCAGACCTAAGGTCAAATCCGACTCTACCATTTCTTATCTGTGTGGCCTTTTGGAGCCTCCCTCCACCTCTGAAGTTAGGAGCTTCATTTCCTAACTTTAAACTTAGGTAACAAATGGGCCTACTGACAATGACCACCGAATGATGCTGTTGCAACAAATAAGATATTACTTCAGAAGCCTCTGTAAGATGCTAGACATATACTAGTTATTGCCTAAAGCTAGTCCAGGCTTCAGCTTCTTACTGCTATAATCGCGGATGCTCAGGCACCTTAATTCATCTATATTCTGTCCTTGCTTCTGTGATTACTCTTCCATAACGTACATATAATAATTGTAACAATATAACCATAACAATAATAAAGGAAAAATTGTAAGAGAAAATGAGGCAACCAGATGGAGAACAAAGATTTTGATAGTTTGCTCAAGGTTACACAGTTGAAAGATAGCTAGTTAGCAATGAAGAAAGAGAGGGCGGATCCGATTCTGCTGAATGTTGCATTTGTCTGAGAGGTGATGCTCCAATGATCTGCTGAGAGAAAGAAAGAGGGGTAGAGGTTGTTCAGGAACAGGGAAGAACTGTGAGTGGGCTGGCAAGAGAAAGAGAAAAGCTTCTTGGCACCTCCTGCATCTGCTCTCCTGCAAGCTTTCAGACTCTGATGTGTTAAATCTGTTCCCAGAAGCCCAAATATACTCTATTCCTGGGTAAGGACAAAATGCATCCCAAAGCTGAGATGTCAATGGACTCGGGTGTATCCACCGCTGTAGAGCATCTGCTCCACTGTCACCCTCCCTAAGCTAAGATGATCAAGAGTGGATCGTACTATGTGAACAGTCCGACATTGTGGCTATCTACACTGCCTTCAGTGGCCTCCCTGAGCCTCCGTGCCGTCATGGATAAATGGGGAGAGTGCCCACAGCTACCATTTATTGAGCACTTTCTATATCCGGGGCACTGAGCCCTGGACGTGAATTTTGTTGTTTAATACAACAACTTTAAGAGGTAGTTCTCTTGTCATCTCCATTTTGTAACTGAGGCAATAAAACCAAGGAAAGGCGAGAGACTTGCAGAGGCCACATACCAGTAAGTAACCCCGCGCAGATTCCGCCGAGGGCCTTCCGGGGATTTTATGAGGCAGTGCGTGTACAGTCCTTAGCACAAGGAAGCACTTGGCACATAGTAAGTTCTCAGCCAATGCTGCAGAGCAGTTAATTGTGATAATGGTTAAGCCACCACGAAACCGTTCCCTGGGTTAGGCACAGATCCCAATTGTCAGTTTGGAGGAACTAACTCTTTCAAGCCTCTCCCCAGATACTCTTGACAAATGCTCTGAGTCTGTAGTGACCCCTCAGGGCCCCCAAAGGCTTAAGGAAGTGGCTTGAGAGAGGGGGTGGGGAAGGGACACGTTCCCTGTGAGTAGAGCTTGAAGGCGATACCCCAGGATGGGAGAGTGAGCACAAAGGTTGCGTCACAGTCACTGTCTGAGGCTCAGTTTCAGACACCTAAGGAGCAGATGGCCCCAGAAGGGCTCCACGCCCCACTTCCACACCTCTGTAGGTTAAGGAATGCGGAAAACTGAAGAAGGAGCGCTAGGCAAGCAGATTTCAAAGGCTGAGCAGATTCCTTCAGAATAAGGATTCCGATCCCTGAGAATCAAGGTGTTTTTGTCCGATTTTCCCCAGGTAAAGTTGATCTGTCTAAGAAATGTGCAGCGGTACACAGTGTGCTTCCCCAAAGGTCCCTCCAGTCGCAGGCAGATCAAGTGACAGATGCTGCTGCTGCTGCGACTGGAAAAAGGAGGTCTTGAGCCTCCCTCGCTTGGAAGGGTGTGGGAAGAAAGGAGGAGGTTGGGGAAGGAGGACACAAGCCCATCACCTCCTCGGCCAGTGATGTCACCGCGTGGCCGCTTGACCCCGACTGGTTATGGAACGGGTGCTGTCTCCAGCCTGGATCTCCTTTGAGCCTCTCCTCTGAGACACCAGCCCCAACCTAATGCAATTGTTCTTTGTCACACACAGGTGAGGAAGAGGAGGAGTTTATTGAAGAAGAAAATCAGGAAGAGGAAGAGTCCACAGAGGGGAAGGAAGAAGGTGAGAAATCCGTCTCCCTCCTTTCATTCGTTCATTCATTCAGTGACAACATGAGATCCCTACTGAGTGCAAAGTGCTGTGCTTGACGGTGGGGTGATGTTTCTTGTTCCCTGTAGGGGTTTTAAACCTGTTAAGGTAAAGTCGTGTTCCCTTTACTCTTAGAGAACTCCCCCAAACTATTCATCATAAAAAGCTCCCATTTTACATCTAAATGACCTTCCTGAACAGAAAGTGACACAGCGTAACAGAGGCAAAAGAGAGCACCCACAAGGCAGGCTTGGCCCAATGTTCAACATTTTAAAAATTAGTTGTCAACATTTTTTAAATTAGTAGATGTTTTTAAAAGGATGTTTTGTTTTTGTTTTCTTTTAAAAGAAGAGTTCAACTAAGACTTTGGATTTTCACCCTGTCAGAATTTGGAAAGAGCTAACAACGCTGGGCCTGCCCTTCTCCCTAGTCTCAGAGAGCTGGCTCTGGGAAGCAGTTGCCTCCCTTGGATGGGACATCCATTTGCTAGTTGGCCCAGCCCCACCACTGTCAGCCTGCCTGCCTGGCCCATTCATGTCACCTGGCCGCATAGGTATCTGAGCTTCCCAACCTGGCAGAGTACAATTAAGGGCCTGGGTTCTGAATCACAGCTTTACCACGGACTAGCGGTGTGTTCTTGGGCAGTTCACGACTTTTCTGAATCTTGACGTACTCATCTATGCAAGGGGGCATACCAGTACTGACCTCAAAAGATTAGACTGTAATCAGGACTAAATTAGGTAATCATTTAACACAGTGTCTGGCACAAAGAAACGTCATGTCTGCTAATGTTATTATTTTTCAATTCAAGTTATTATTGGAACTAAATTCCAATCCAGCTAAAAAACACAAAGTAGCCTTCTAGAGTCTTTTGCACTGGGTCTGAAATCCATAGCATTTAGGCAGCTAAATTCTATTGCAAGTTTAAACGGAAGAGGCCAGGCAGGAATTGGAGTCTGATAATTTTGTCACTGCATCCTGGTAAGCCCTGGATCCTCCTGAGGCCCTATCTCACCTTGTGTTTCTTCGTCTTTTTTTTCAGGACACCAGTAAGGAGATGGATGAGGGAGAGACCGTCTAGATGCAGAGAGACTGGGGAGGGTGGGGATGGGCCCAGCTACCTTGGTGACAGGCCCAGGGTGGGAGGGGTCAGGGCCCCCGGAGGGGCAATGGGGAGGTGTGTCTTCTCTCTGCTCAGAGAGCAGGAACCAGGAGCGGGACCTCACCGCTGTGTCCAGCATCATGAACCAGAGTTGGAAACGTGCTTGAAACAACCACACTGGATACTTCTCTACGTTGGTGCAAAATGGAATATTTTGTACTTTTTTAAAATGTGATTTTTGTATATACTTGTATATGTATGCCAATTTGGTGCTTTTTGTAAAGGAACTTTTGTATGATAATGCCTGGTCATCGTGTGATGGACGATTGTTATAAAGAAGGGAAAGAAGCCAGGTTGATACAGCCACCCACTTCCTCTCCTTGGTGGGAGGGGCTCCGTAGCACTCACAGACCTAGGAAAGGATAAGGTACTGTATTTCAGTGTCTATTCCTGACATAAGGGACAGCGACTGAGTTCGTGTTACATGTTGTTTTAATAAATGCACAGCGCTTTCTTCCATTTATTACCAAAAGAGCTGGGGTTTCATTCAGCCTTTTTTTCAGAGGACAGTTCAGGGTAGATGGACAGAAGGCCTGATAGGAAGAGTGCAGCAGGAAGTAGACAGTGATGGCAAGCCAAGGTTTCTATCCCACCAAAGAAGTTGTCCTTTAAACCCGCATTTCCCAATGAGAACTATGTGGAAAACTGGCCCTGAGAGGACCCTCCAGAAAAGGGTTCAATGCCTTATTTTCTGGCTCTCCAGAAAACAGAGCCTGAGGCAAAGAGTAAACACTTTAGTTCAGCTACGTTCCTAGGGCAGCCGGAGTGAAGGGAAGTGGAAGCAAGTCAGGAAAGGAGGGAAGCAAATACAAAGTATCGCATTACCCAGCTGGCCACAGCTCCACCAGGAGACCCCTGGCTGCTTGCTCAGCCAAGGGAGATGCTTCTAGCAGGTTACAAAGAACAACCTGCCTCAAACAGTTCATCAGAGGGAAGAAGGGAGAGACCTGTCTGCTGGCTTCTTTCACCTCCCATCTCCCAGGACTGGAGTTTGCCCCCCAGAGAGTTAATGCCCTTGCTCTTCCACTGCATCACTTGGCCCTTTGGGCAGCTGCAGGGGAAGCTAGAAGGCACCTGTCAGCTGACCCTGCAGGTGGTGGGTGGAGCAGAGCCTCGGGGGGGCCAGTGGAGTTGGGTGTGTGTTTTGTGTCAGTCTCAGCCTATCAGCAACCAATGTTGTGGTTAGACTGGCCCTTGTAGTTCTTATTATGATTTCAAGATGCCCTTAAGTACTAACCATCAGGAAATTCTGAAAAAATAAAGGTTTATTACTTACAAGACCTGCAAATTACATAGCATCCCTGGGGCCATGCAGTGAGTTCACGGGCGGAGAGAGGGAGGGAGAAAGCAAGAGCCTGGGTTCCGATTTTATTGGGGTCTAGGGTGGGGGCCTAGGGTTTCAAAAGCTCACTCTTTATTGGTGAATTTAGAACATAAGAGAGGGAATTTAAAGCGTGGGAAGTGGAAAAAAAGCAAATGGCTCAAATGGTCAGTTAGCAAAATCAACTAAGATCTCCAAAACAAAGGAGCCTCAGTGGGGAGAAACGGCCTGGCTCTTTATCTAGTGCTGTGGCTGGCAAGGTGTTTATTAGAGATAGCCCTGAAGTGGTTGCCTCTTTTGAAATGGATGGCAGTCAAAGCTCAAGTCGGACACTCACATTACAAAAAAGAAAAAAAACCCAAACAAAAACCTGTCAGGGCTAACGGCAGGGGTGCTAGAGCTACTGCTGCCCCGCCGCAGTGGTCACCATGGAGGCTCTGCTGGAGCCCAGATTTACTCCAGGGAAGGCCAAGACAGCCACCCGTGCTAGCGGATGAGGCGATGACCACGGCTGAAGTAGCATCCAGGCTCTCCATGAACAAGGGGCCAAAGGGGCTAGGAGAGAGGTGCAGCTGAGCGAATCTGAGGTGGTGCGTTAATTGGGTCTGAGACACCTCGGATTTAGAAATCTGAGGAACACTGCAGAGTCTGTCCCAACTTTTCGACATTCAGAACTCAGTAGCAACTTAAGGGCTCTGAGCAGTCCTGCCATAATGAAAGCTGTTTAACTTTAGCCAAATTACTGGTCCATCGAGTTCACGGTATTTGGAATACCACCTGATCTTTAAAGCTCTTAATATTTCTTGGTGGATTGACTATATAACCCAGCATTTCCCAACTTATTCATTCACATGACATCCTCCAGAACTAGCATTCTATGGAATTCACTTTACAAAAATGTTTTAAACCCTCACACCTCTGTCCATTTTCACTTCTGGGAGTTTTTCCAAGGCTAACTCAGTCCTTAACTTTGAATTTCAGATAATCAGATTTTGTTTTCATTTCTAGTCCTTAAATTCTGAAGCTTAAATTTTTTTAAAAAAATTGTGTAACATATTACATACACACAAGTGCACAGAACTAATTTTAGAGTTAAATAAACTACTGTATAGTGAAATCCTATGCTGTTACTTAGCAGGTCAAGAAAAGGAACATTATATGTTTAACTGAATCACTTTGCTGTACATCCTAAACACTGTAAATCAATTATACTTCAACTAAAAAAAATAAATAATAATAGGGACTTCCCTGGCAGTCCAGTGGTTAAGACTCCGCGCTTCCACTGCAGGGGACACGGGTTTGATCCCTGGTTGGGGAACTAATATCCCCCATGCTGCGCAGTGCAGCCAAAAAAGAAAAAGAAAAAGGAAAAGAACGTTATCAAACCCAAGAAACGCATCATGTGTCTCCCTCCTCCTGCTTGGAGGTAGCCACTATCCTTTTTTTTTGTTTTTCCACTGGACCACCAGGGAAGTCCCACCACTATCCTTTTTTTTTTTTTAACAATCACACACTTGCTTTTCTTCATAGTCCTAAATTATCTTCCTATAGAAGACTGAAGGAATTTGAGGCCAGAAAGTTAGAAGCTTTCATCACCTTGAAATCACAAGAATCAGGATTACAACCTGTCCACATTCTGGCTCCAGATTTCTTCTCTGGGTTACTGATCACATGTGAGATAGGCATGTCCATCCGCTATCTTGTCACTTATCAGAGGGAGGAGGGAGGGCAGTCAAGGCTCTGTAGTCAGAAATTTGAATTCCAGGGAGATACCCGTTCTTTGCAGATAAGGGAATCTCTACTTTGCCACACAAACCAGAACACTTAAGGGTGGTATGAAGGGTTCTTGATCAACAAGTTTCTTTTAAGATCATGCTGTAAGGAAACTGGTTGCAGAGGGTTATTCCATGAATCTTGAATACGGTTCCATAGGCTGCTGCATTAGAATCACCAGAGGTTTATTTTCCCCCTAAACCTTTAATTCTGGGAAATTTCAAACTTATGGAAAAGTAGAGGGAATATTATAACATACCCTCCATACTCATCACTCAGTTTCAACAGTTACAGACACTTGTTTCTTCTCCATCATTACTCCCTCCCCACACTGGGATTATTTTAAGGCAAATCCCAGATATCATGCCCTTTTATCCTTCAATACTTTAGATAAAGGTTCTTTTCAAAATCATAACCATTTATACCATAAAAAATGAACAATAATTTCACAATAGCATTCAACTCAGAAGTTTAAACAATATAGGTTCCCAGACCCCCTCCCCGGACCTACAGAATCAGATTCATTGTGGAATGTAGGTGTTGACCAAGGTGAAAATGCACAACACAAAAGCTGTGAGTTACGTTTTATTTGGGGCCCTTACTAAACAGCTGCTCTGAAGACGTCAGGGAGGAGCCAGGATATTTATGAATGTTTTTTGCTGAGAAAAATATGTAGTCTGCTAATCACGAAAACCAGACATCTCAAGTTAATGATTTTCGTGCTTTCCCATGTAAGGGAAGATGCAAGAATCTGGCATCATTAAAAGTTTTCATTACATGTGCATCTTAACTGCCTAGGGGCCAGTACATCCAAAGCCCAGAATACTTCTTATTTTTTCTCCACCCTGAATTCTCCTCGGTGGCCGATGGTAGTAGCTAATGGCTTGATCCTTGTAGAACTGGAATGGCAGGAAACGTTTTTTTTCTTTATAGGGGAATCTACATTTTTAGAATAAAATTGTTGAGGTCTGCAACTTGCTAGGTCATTAGCAGAGGACCTTCTGGGGATCTGTGAATAGAATACAAGTGGAGCAGTTTTTCAATATATCAAAGTCTTAACTAATTAGTCAAACTCTTGCAAATCAATTAAAATGCATCCTAGAAAAGTATTAATTTAAGGGAAATTTGGCATAAAAGTTTTTATAAAATGAATATATGTGTCTGGGTCCAATTCGTAAATCTCCACATATTGAGAATTTACAATGTGCTTTGCATTAAAGGGAACGAGAGGGACATAGATGACACACTTTTTTAAAGCATAAATGTTTTGCCCTCAAATAAATTATAAGATTAATCTGAGCACAGGGCAGCTTGAAACTACAACACGACTGAGATGGCCCAGCAAGAAACCCCTGCGAGCTGCACCTACCTCACTTACTCTCATGTGACTAAGTGACCAGCCCTATATTTATATACTTCTTTATTTCAATCCAATTCACAGGCTTTTAACTAAGTGCTCAGTAGGTGCTCAGAGCTAAACTAAATTGTAATAGAAGTATAAAATACATCCCAGCTCTCAAAGAGCTTAAAATCTAGTGGGGAGATCAGGTGAATATATGTCTGCGATGATAAAAGCTTATGTAGAAGTCCTCAGACTTTACTGTGCAGAAAATCCCCTGAGAATTTGTAAATATGTCGATTCCTAGGGTCTACATCCAGAGATTCTGATTCAGTTGGTCTGATGCAGGGGCCTGGAACCTGCATTCTAACATAACGCTGAGCTTGCTGGTTCTAAGAGTATACAGGAAAACCAGGAAGCCTGCGGTAAAAGTTGTCCACACTCAGTCCAGAGCAGGTGGAAAGGTACTCAGTGGGGACCCAATCTAGGCAGGCATGCCGCTGCCATCCTCGCTCCTTGCACTTAGTTTCCTAACAAGATGACTCCTGTCGGGGAGACACTGAAGGAGCCCCTCCTTGTCCCCAGTGGTGTGGGATAGGGGCTCACACCCTAGTCTCTTGTCTCTGTGAAGGGCCATAGCCAAGCCAAGGTCCCCAGGGCCCTTGATGATGGGGTGACTGGCCAGGGAGGTCCCCAGCCCAAAGCTCTTTTTAGGTAGAGGGCCTATCAGAGGCCCCTGCCCCTCCTCCCACCCAACCGCCGGGGGAGGGCGAAGCTTCAACTGGATGGGGCATCAAGCCGGCAGGAAGGGCCGGCCGGCTTCTACCGGCGGAACACTACGCATGGCACCGTCCTGGGGCTCCTGGGAACTGCTGCGGGGCAGTGGAGAAAGGATGGTGTGGTGGTAGCGGTGTCAGCTCTGTCTAGATGGCGACTGCTGCTGAAGCGCGACCCTGCTCTGTGTAGCGGTGGAGATAAAGACGGCCACCCCAGATCTAATCCGAGCGCGCAAGACGGGAGGAACCGGCGCTGCTTCAGTGGCGAGGATGGATTAGTCAGTGCCAACCAGTCCTAAGGAGGGCTACTGCCCCAGCCTGAGGGCAGGCATACCCCACCCGCAGGAGCCCCCTGGCCTGAGTGGAAGAACATGGGGGGCTCGGGCGTCTGCAGCCTGAGAGTGGAAACCGATAAGTGGTTTCCTGAGGGCAAGACACAATCCCAGCCTCAGGAGCCCTAATTCTGAGTTTAGGAGCCACATTCCTGCTCTCAGGGGACCCACAGCGGATTTCTACAAGGCGGGGCCCGAGAACTTCTCGGTGGGACACACCCCGCGCCGAGCCGGGGAAGGCGGCGCAGACTAGTCCCAACTCGGAAACACCAAGCAGCAGAGCGGGGGCGGAGGGGAGCGGTTAGGCTTTGTGTCGCAGGCCAGGTGGGCTCCTTGGGCCCCGGGGGCGCAGGGGACGGGGTGCTAGGGGTCAATGCCGGGGCCCTTTGCCGCCAGGTGCCCCCTCCCCCTTCCCTGCGGGCTTTTGCACACGACGCGCCGCTTCACACGGGGTAGCGGGGACCGGGTAAAGCCAGCGGGAGCGGGGCGCCACGGCTGACGTAGTGGGGGCAGCAGCGGTAGCAACAGCGGGACGACCCCTCGGCAGCCTCGGCACGGCCAGGCGGGAGCGAACTCGCGGCAGAGCGGTTGGGCGAGGGGCTCACGCGCCGGGGCGGCGGGAAAGGCGCGCAGTGCCCTCCCGGCAGGTGAGTGAGCGCCGCGGAGCGTCCCGCGCGCAACTTCCAGGGAGTACACGGCAGGGAGCGCGAGACCGCATGGAGGCCACCGAGAGGAAGCATCTGTTAGACGCCAGGCTTGGAGCCGGGTAAGGCGAGAGCCTGGGGAGGGGCGGGAATCTGAGTGGCATCAGACCCACCTCCTCATTTGCTATCCTGCCAGTGGTTGGTTTGGACGGCGGCTTGAACTGGGACCACACGGGAGGGGTGGGATGAGGTGAAGGAAGGAAAGGGGAAATGGAGCCTGGGCACGGGGATCATCCCTCCCCTCTTGTGGCTGAGCACAGATCCTGACCCCTGCGGGTTAGTGGGGAGTGCGTGCCTGGAGCCTTGCCCCGGGGCCAGCACTTTGCCCGGGGGCAGCCCCGCCCTGGGAGGCCCGGTGTCCCCAGACCGTGAGAAGGGGAGATCTGCTCTTCTCCCTGAGTGTAAACTCTCCTCCTTCTCCGCGCTCGGCTGGACCGGCCCAGCCCTTTGGCCAGTTCCCAAGGTCTTTGCCTCCTCCAGGCCCTGGGAGGGATGGGGGAGGAGGGAACACGCCGAGCCAAGACTCCTGAACTGGTTGTTCCCCAGCACCCCCTGCAAAGAGGGGCTTCTGGTCACTCCGCAGAGTCTGTCGAGCTTGGAGTATCCTTAAGCTCTTCTTCCAAATGGGCACATGGGAACAACCAGGCCCCGCAGAGAGGTAAGACTGGAGTCAGCCTTCTTTGCTCCCATCTCAGAGCTGAGCCTCCCCTCACCCTTCCTCCTTGGACAGGTCTTACAGATCTCTGTGGCAGGATGGGGCTGGCAGGATCCCTCTGTCTTCACCTGGCCTGGACTTGCAGCCCGTTGAGCTGGCTACCAAGAGCAACCATTACTGTCATGCCCAGACGGGTCCTGGCAGTGATTGCGACCTCAAGAAGAAGAGGGCATGGCGCCAGCTCTGTGTGGCCTGTGCCTTCTGCCTGTTGTTCATGATTGGGGAAGTCACTGGTAAGGACTTTTTTGCGAATTAGATGAAATTGGCACATGGGTAGTTTGGATGATCCAAAAGGCTTTTTCTCCTGGATGTTCCTGTAGTATTAATACTAAGGGCTCCCTATCTTATATGAAACGGAGGCACCATAAGGTTTAGGAACTTGCCCAAGATCACACACAGCTAGTAGGTCAGGGAAGACCTGAGTGCCTAGAAGGAAGGAGCATTTCCTGAGTGCCCGCTATGCTTTCCAGGCCCATTTTGGTTTTTTGTTTTTGTGTTTTGTTTTGGGCCATGCCACGCGGCTTGTGGGATCTTAGTTCCCCGACCAGGGATTGAATCCATTCCGAGGACGCAGTGAAAGCGGGGAGTCCTAACTACTGCACCGCCAGGGAATTCCCCTACAGGCCCAATTTGAACTCAATTTTCACGTTCACCCTCTAAGTAGATTTTGCGAATCTCATTTCACAGATGGTAGAAGTTGAGGCTCAGAGAAAGTAAGTCACTTGCCCGTGGTTACACAGCTAATGGTGCAGAGGTCTGGAATCCATTGTCTTTCTCCAGAGCTCATGGTTTTCCTGCTGCACACACACTCTGGGAAGTTGGCTCCTTGGGGAACTGATAAGGACCCTCCACCCTCTTGGCCCTGCCCCTGCAGGTGGGTACCTGGCACATAGTTTGGCGATCATGACAGACGCAGCCCACCTGCTCACTGACTTCGCCAGCATGCTCATCAGCCTCTTCTCCCTGTGGATGTCTTCCCGGCCAGCCACCAAGACCATGAACTTCGGCTGGCATCGAGCTGGTAAGGGCCCTGGTTGGGATGGGGATGGAGTTGGGAGAGGGGGTAGGTCAAGATCAGGTTCTTAGGTGGGTGCACTGGGTCCCTGAGTAAGGCCAGGAGGGTGATTTGGGTGGGGGAAGAGGATGTCAACCTTGGCTTCTGTCCTTTGGGAGCTCCCAGTCTGATGGGGGAGCCCTGGTCCCCTGTTCCTCTGGGAATTCCCACCCCGCAGGGTAGGAGAGTCTACCTTCCTAAGAAATGAAGTGGCCAGACTTCAAGAATAAATGACTGTGCATTAACTCTGCACATAACTCCATGGATCAGCTCTAGGGGGAGGGAAAGTTCAGCAAAGGCTTTTGAAGTTCATCTCTGCGCTGCATTGTCATTTTCCTCTTGGTGGCAGATGGCCCAGCCTCTGTTCCTCAGAAGCCTTAGTTTGCCAGCTGAGCAATGGGTATATATTTTAATGAGTCAGCTTCAACAGAAAGGGTTGACCCAGATGATTTCTTGAGTTTCTTCTAGCTCAGATGTTCCCAGATGTATGAGTGGTGGGGTAAGGTGCAACCACACCAGCCATAGCTCCAGCAGAGCCCAGTCGGACGCAGGCCCAGACTTTGTGGGGACGAGGAGGGGGCTCCTTAGCCTTAGGGCCCCATGCTAAGATTGGTATTGGGAGCCGGGTTCTTCCTCAGAGATCCTGGGCGCCCTGATCTCTGTGCTGTCCATCTGGGTCGTGACTGGGGTACTGGTGTACCTGGCGGTGGAACGGCTGATCTCTGGGGACTATGAGATCGAGAAGGGGACCATGCTGATCACGTCGGGCTGTGCTGTGGTCGTGAACATCATGTGAGTGTGGCCTGGGTTCCCTGTGAGTCTTTCCCCCTCCCACTTCTCACATGCATACCTACATGCCTGCTCTCCTTAGAAGGAGGAGGTGCTGCACTCCAGGATAGGTCGCAGGATCAGAATTTCCCTAGTGGTCTGAGCTCTGGCACCTGGAACACCTGGGTCCTGCCTGAGGCCTCGGGCAAGGCCATCAGGAGCTGTAAACCTGGGGCAGCATCAAGTTCCCACCCCATACAAGTCAGTGAATAACCAGAGAGGCTTCTTACCTGTCATGGGGAGGGGTGAGTTTAGTTCTTGCAGGAGCAGGTGTCCCTAGGGGCAGAATCCAAGCCCTTTTTCAAGGTGATGTGCCTGAAATTGGTCTCAGTGAGAGGCAGGGTGTGTAGAGCACCGAGGTCTCTTTTGGGTTCTCTCACCTTTGCTCAGTGGCCTTGGGCAAGCCACTTCCTTCTCTGGGCCTCAGCTTCACCATCTGTGACATGGTGAAGGCCCCTCTATGGGGCTTTCCTGCTCTGAGACTTGGCACTGGGGCATCTTTGTGCCCAGATTCAGCCTGGCATTGGATGGAGCTGAGCCCCTTCTCCTGTTGGTACTCTGAACCAAGGCCACGTGAGTTGGGCTCCTCACGTGGCCAAAGGGATCGTGCAGTCTGGGGAGGCCAGTCCTGATGGGGGCCTCTACCTGGCTGATTTGAAGCCTCTATCTGCTACCTCAATGAGCCCCTTGGCCTTGTCTCCACCTCTGTAGAATGGGATTGATTCTTCACCAGTCTGGCCACGGACACAGCCATGGCCATGAGCACAGCCACGACACCAGCCAGCAGCAGGAGAACCCTAGTGTCCGAGCTGCCTTTATCCATGTGGTTGGAGACTTTCTGCAGAGCTTGGGTGTTTTAGTGGCAGCCTTTATTTTATACTTCAAGGTTAGAGCTGGGGACACAGGGAAGTGGGCCGGGTGGGGAAGGGAGGGTAGATCATCTGGAGGCTTCTCTCTGCACAGGACCCTTTCCAGATTCTAGCTCCCTCCCAGCTCTGGGCAAAAGGGTAGGAGAGGGAAGGAACATTTATCCAACACCCAGTAAGTGTTAGCACTTCTGATCTTGATAACAACCCTGAAGGGGAGGTGGTGGTGTTTTCTGTAGCTCAGAAAGGCTCAGGGACTTGCACAGCGCCACCCAGCTGGTAAGTTGTGAAGCCAGATTAAAACCCAGGACTGTGTGCTGCCTAGGCATTGGCCATCACACAGGCAGTGTGGTGTAGTGGAAAGAGCCAAGGGTTGGGTTTGAAGCCTGGTTCACCCCTTGCCAGCCGCATGATGTGGAGTGAGTCCCTTGCTCTAATTGAGCCTCTGTTTCCCCATCTATAAAATGGGGATGTCGGACCAGATGGTGCCTAAGATTCCATTTAGCTCCGTCCGTGTCTCAGCCCCTTGGGCAAGGAGGGGTGGGAAGGTGCAGTGCCTTATCCTAAACTGTGGTCTGTCCTGCCTGTCCTTTTGGACACAGAATAAAAGGTAGAGAACTGGGAGGCAGGGTCAGGGTGAGGTTCATGCCCACCCTGCAGAGAGAGCCCCTCTCCCTGACTTAATGCTGGGTGGGAGCTGAGAAGGGAGGCTAAGGTGTTGGGTGGTGAGCCCCAGCTCTGCCTTGCCCTTTTCCTGTAGCCAGAGTACAAGTTTATAGACCCCATCTGCACCTTCCTCTTCTCCATCCTCGTCCTGGGGACAACCTTGACCATCCTGAGAGATGTGATCCTGGTACTGATGGAAGGTAACCTGGGCTTGGGGCTCCCTTTTTGCTCTTGGCTCTCCAGCTCTAATGTAAGTTCAGGTGTGTGTGTGTGTGTGTGTGTGTGTGTGTGTGTGTGTGTGTGTGTGTGTGTTGGGTGTAGGGTGCATCCCAGCACATTGGCGGGGGACCATGGTCTGGAGCCTGGCATAGGTTGGAGAATCTCCTGGGGCCCCGGGCTGATCTTGGCATTGAGCAGGGCCCTCAGGTGTGGTTGTTTCTGGAAATGTCCTCTGGATCGTCCTTTCCTTCCTCTTACCCCCAAGGGTGCCTCCTCCCTGCTGGGATGTGTCCTCCCTGCCTGGGCAGGGGGCTTCCGGCTGGTGTCTGTAGCACCTGGCCCTCCAGTCCCTCCTCATGTTTCCTGAGTCTCCACTTGCCTTCCCTTGGGGGGTGAGGTTTATGTTTCTCATTGCACAGTGGGGTCAGGGCGGGGCAGACTGAGGATCAGAAAAAGACAGTTGGTGTTGGACAAGACTGCGGAATCCACTGCGGCTCAGGCCTTCCTTTCTGAGGACCCCACCTCCAGAGGACGTGGCAGGGCTTTGAGGGGTGCTCATTGGTGGCAGATGGTCTGCCCTGAGTTACCACACGTATTCACCCGGCTTGCTTGTGCTCAGGATCTTGGGTCATAGGTCTCCGTGTGGTCAGGGTTGGTCTAGATCCTGATTTGGGGTCAACAGGAGTGCTTGGCTGCAGGTCAGAGCTTTTTCTCCAAGAATGTGACTGACCCAGATAAAAGTGATGATAAGGATTCCCTATGCGGGTGCAGGGATCCCCAGGTTCCCTTCTTTAAAAAAAAAAGTTTTTTATTTGAAGTAGAGTTGATTTACAGTGTTGTGCCAATCTCTGCTGTACAGCAAAGTGACTCAGTTATATACATGTAGACATTCTTTTTTAATATTCTTTTCCATTATGGTTTATCCCAGATTAGATATAGTTCCCCGTGCTATACAGTAGGACCTTGTTTATCCATTCTACATGTGATAGTTTGCACCTACCAACCCCAAACTCCCAGTCCATCCCTCTCCCTTCCCGCCACCTTGGCAACCACAAGTCTGATCTCTATGTCTGTGAGTCTGTTTCTGTTTTGTAGATAGGCTCATTTGTGCCATATTTTATTTATTTATTTATTTTAAAGTAGGTTTTTTTTGTTTTGTTCTGTGTTTTAATTAATTTATTTTTGGCTGCGCTGGGTCTTTGTTGCTGCACGCGGGCTTTCTCTAGTTGCGGTGAGCAGGGGCTACTCTTCCTTGCGGTGTGTGAGCTTCTCATTGCGGTGGCTTCTCTTGTTGTGGAGCACGGGCTCTAGGCACGCGGGCTTCAGTAGTTGTGGCATGTGGGCTCAGTAGTTGTGGCTTGTGGGTTCTAGAGTGCAGGCTCAGTAGTTGTGGCGCACGGGCTTAGTTGCTCCGTGGCATGTGGGATCTTCCCAGACCAGGGCTCGAACCCGTGTCCTCTGCACTGGCAGGCGGATTCTCAACCACTGTGCCACCAGGGAAGCCCTCATTTGTTTATTTTTGTTTTTATTTCTGTTGCCTTGGGAGACTGACCTGAGAAAACATTGGTACGATTTATGTCAGAATATGTCTTGCCTATGCTGTCTTCTATTAGTTTTATGGTGTCAGTGTCTTATGTTTAAGTCTTTAAGCCATTTTGAGTTTATTTCTGTGCATGGTGTAAGGGTGTGTTCTAACTTCACTGACTTACGTGCAGCTGTCCAACTTTCCCAGCACCACTTGCTGAAGACAAAAAAAATTTTTTTTAATGGAGCATATACTGTGGGACTAGGCACTGTTCTAGGCACTGAGGATAGGGTGGTAAACCAAACAATTGTCCTGCTCGCATAGCTTCCACTTCAGAGGGAGAGACAGCAAGAAACTAACAAGATAATTTCTGACAGTGTTACGTGTGAAGAGGAAAATACAACAGGGTGAGATGATGGGGGTCATTTGGGAGGTGGGGGCAACGTCAGGCCAAGGAGGTCTGAGCGAGGGGACATTTGAGGAGCAGGAACAAGCGTGGGTGGGGGGGCGCCCTTTCCTTCAGCCCCTGTCCCTGCCATCCTCAGGGACCCCCAGGGGCATGGACTTCATGGCTGTGCGGGATCTGCTGCTGTCGGTGGAGGGGGTGGAAGCCCTGCACAGCCTGCATATCTGGGCGCTAACTGTGGCCCAGCCTATCCTGTCTGTCCACGTCGCCATCGGTGAGTAGTCGGAACACTTGGGGTGCGTGAGAGAGAGGCAGCGGGAGGCCCGGGGCCACCCTGATGGGCCCAGATGACCCCGGATGCTTGCAGTGCCCATGCATTGGCCCTGACCCCATGCTGGGTACTTGACATACATTATTTCATTTGGTCATCACAGTCCCATTTATAGATGAAGAAACTGAGGTTGGGGGGTGGGGGGCGGTAAGGTCACTCGCCCAGGCTCTTCCAGCTAATCAGTGGCAGAGGAAAGATTCCTAGCCTTAAAGCCAGTGCTTTTCCTGCTCTTTCAGCGTTGTGCCAGGTATGGGAACCAGAGGGTTGCCTGGTACAGGAGTGAGTCTGGGGGTTTCTTGATGTCCATCGTCCCCTATCTTGTTCTGCTGGGGGTACGATATGAGACTGAGGCTCCTAATCATTCCTAGGGGCCCAAGAGTGAGTAATCGGTTCTCTGGCGTCTCCCCTCATGTGTCCTCTCTGCCCCCAGCTGGGAATGCAGATGCCCAGGCTGTGCTGAAGGCAGCCAGGACCTGCCTGCAGGGGAAGTTCCACTTCCACACCGTGACCATCCAGATAGAGGACTACTCTGAGGACATGAAGGACTGTCAGTCATGCCAGGGTCCCTCGGACTGACTGCCCGGCCAGGCACCAACTGGGGCATGGACAGGCCTGCCGACGGCTGGACTGAGTGTCCCCCAGGCCCAGCCAGGACTCTGCCTACCCCAGGTGGGTTATAAACCAGGTCACTCTCCTGACTGCTGCTCCATGTTCAGTGTGGAGGAGGCTCGTCCCACTCCAGGAACGGGCTCTTCCCCGTCTCCCCCATCTGACTCCCGCCAGCCCCAGGATGGGAACTCTGCAGGTGTAAAGCTGGTGTGACCCCACTCTTCCAGCTCCCGGTGTGGCAGGGTTTGGGCCTCATCCTCAGCTAATGCCGCCCTACCACTAGCCTCTGGAAAGGCAGTGGGGCATAGTGAGGGGTGACAGAGGGGAGACTCATTGTCCCCTCACCTGCCTGCCTCATTTCCCATTTTCAGTCTGTCTGGCCTTTGCCTTATGAATCCATAAAGAAGCCCTGGGACAGAGCCCCCTTCCTCTGCCTCTAACAATACGCTACAAGGAGGCCATGGGGAGTTGGGGAATTGTGAGGACTCTGCACACTCATACGGGTCCCCCCTGAGATGGGGAGCCAGGGGGCACCTGAGGCTGATCTGTGCCTGAGTCATTTCACTGAGAGCCAAATGTTTCCTTTTCCTGGAGGTAGGGGACTTCTGACTAGGTAAGGACCTGCTGGTTTCCTCTTTCTTTATTCCCCCCACCTCGTCAACGCCCAGGAAGCTGTGCCAACACAAAGGTGTCCTGGCGGGAGGGGTGGAGGTGGGCACAGATTTCAGCTTGGGTCCCCCGCAAACAGCCCCACAGGCCCTGGGCCACTCCTTTTGCCCTGATTGTGTCCCGGGGTCGGGGAGCCTGACACTGGGTATGGTTGGGCCAGCTCTGTTGCCGGTATGGCCTGGCCTGCTCAAAACTTGGGGATGGAGGACACAGAGGGTACAACCTGAACAGGAACCCCTGGCTTCCTGAGGTGTGTGTGAAGATTCCTGAATTAGGAGGTGGCTTGTATTTCCAAGATGAAGCCGGGGGACCTGTCCCCAGTCTCACAGAGGAGGCAGCATGCCCAGTCATCAGGTGGCTTTGATCTAGTGGTCTGTCTCTGCCCTTAGGCAGGTCAGCGCCCCTCTCGTCTGCGGACAAAGAATGTTGACACCTACCTCACAGGGTTGTTGTGAGGACTGGAACTAAAGTCAGCTGAGCATATGGTGGTTGTGGGAGAGTGGGTGCTTTTATCATCCTTCTGGAAGGATGGCCTGAGGGGCCATGTGGGCTTCCCAGCCTCGGGGGGCAGCACTGGGTTTGTCTTGACTCTGTCCTGACCCACAGCAGGAGGAGGAGGGGTTGGTCACTCACCTTCCCCTCTGAGCCTCTCCCTTCCCATCTGTGAAACGACCTGTTTGTGCCTTTCCAGCACTGTCATCCAGGGTTGGCTGTGATCTAGGTTTGAGGGTTCTTCGGCCCCTTCAAGTCTGTGGGAAGTTGTGCTGGCTTGGAAGTGTGTGTGTGTGTGTGTGTGTGTGTGTGTGTGTGTGTGACCGTGACCGCTGGTGGAGCTCCACTCCACCCCAATCTTAGGAATCAAATTCCTCCCTCCCCCCAGCCATGGCAGGCCGCAGGAACCTGGATCCTGGGCTTTGCTATATTCCAAGTCCTTACACACCTCTCAAGAGACAGTCGTTGCTGTCCTCCATTTTTACAGATGAGAAAACTGAGGCTCAGAGAGGTTGAGTCACTTGCCCAAAGTTCCACAGCCCTAGGCCTCCCCCTACAGCAGGGGCTGGGGACCTGCTCTGGGCTGCGTATTGGTACAGTATGAGACCTTGGGCCTGGCAGCCCACAGGCAAGGCCATGCCAAGGTAGTTCAGTATTCTGGGTGCTGCAACTGTGAGTGGGGAGGGAAAAGGTGTCTCCCTCAGCTGGGCCTGGCACTTGGAGTCCTCCCCACCCTGGGAAGGCTGCCTGGGCTGCAGCTGTGTGCTTCCTCAACAACTGTCCTTGACTCAGGGCCAGACTGTCTTCCCTCTCCTTAAACTCCCAGTCCCCCCTCCATCTCAAGAATATAGCAGCCCCACGCCTCCCCGAAGAGCCTTCTCTGCATCCCACGCTGTGACTGGCTCTGGGGATGACCTGAGTCATCCAGGGGCCAGAGGTCAAACAGGAGGATGGACGTGGGAGGCCTTGGGGACACCATGTCTGGCCAGAGAGCTAGTCACTAGTCACGGGAGTTTCCAAAGCTGCGAGGCCATCAAAGCAGAAAAACACCGGATACCCTGGACCTGGTTTGGACCCACATCCCCATTCCTCTAGAGTGGCCCCAGCTCCCAGGCAAGACCTGAGTCCCCCTCCCCCCGCGCAGCTGCTGTAGAGGTATTTATAGCCTGAGCAAAGGGGCAAAGACACGCGCTTTATTTCGGAAGTAATCATTCCAGTTCCAGGTGGGTGAACCCAGGAGAACCCAGCGTCCCCTCCCCCTCTCCACTCTCACCACCTGGTCGCTCGCGACCGCCCTTGCTCCCACACAGCCCACCTAGAAATGGCCCCTTCTTAGTCCTAAGTGTGTGGGCCAACCAGTTTTCCGACTTCAAGCTGCGCACCACCAATCTCGACGTCCCCGCTCCCCCTAATCCCACCCGATGGGCGTTTCGAGCTTCCTTCCCTTTCCGGGGGGAGGGAGCGCGGCGCGGTGCTGACCACTAGTGGTCCAGGCTGGTAATGCAGAACGACGGCAGTGCCTGAGCCGAGGGGCCCGAGCCCGGGCCCGGCAGGGCCACCGGCGTTCCCATACCACCCCCAACTGTGCTCCGCCAGGTAGGGAAGGGAGCCCCGAAACTGGCTCCCTGGCACTTCTCTGCTCTATTCTTGGGGCGCGAGGACTGCGCCCAGGATTCTGCGAGAAGCTGCTTTCCGGCCGGACTAAAAACCCGGGGGTGGGGGGGTGGGAGGTGCAGTTTTGTGTCTCACTCCGCACACCCTGTCCACAACCCCGCCACTGTCGCCACAGAGCCAGGCATGTAGTTGATGTCACTTCCGTCTACCTGTTCGTCAAATATTTGTGGCGCACCTGCCAGGCCAGAGAGACGAGGACACGGCCCTGCCCTCCCGGGACTCCCGGGTCAGTCCTGGGGCCTGACGATGTACCTTGCGAGGCAGCATGAATAGCGTCGGGACTAAGGGACACACCCGGCTGTGAAAGCGCAGAGGATCCGGGGCGGGGGTGGGGGTCAGGCAGCTTCGTGGAGGAGGCGAGGATCTGAAAGAGAAGTAGATGTCAGCTCGGCAGAGAAGCCAAGAAAGGCATTCCAGGCAAGGGGTCTGCGAAGGCAGAGGAAAGGCCCCAGAGCCAGCGATGTGGGAACTGCCACTAGCGGCTAGGCTGGGGGGTGGGGGGCGAAGCGGTGGTTGGCCAATCGGGTACTGCCGTGCTGGCTAAATGGCAGCCTTGATTGGGTCTCCAGATACCGCAAGGGAGGAGGCGGAGCCTCCCCCCTCCCCCGAGGCAGTTTGCAGCGACCGCTGGAAGCCGGGCCGGGGTCTCAGCGAGTCACTCCTAGGGTTTCTCCAGGCTGCGATACTTCTTACGCAGCACGGACACCGGGTCCTTGAAGAGCACGGGGTCCAGACGGAAGCGAGAAGATACCAGGGGCATGTGGCCGAACCCTGCCGCCATCTGGTTGATGCAGTTCTGGGCTGCGGGCTGCGGCTCCTGCCTGAGCCCCGGACCCCCAGGCTCCTAAGCGGGGCGGGGAGAAATGCGTTGGAGGGCTTCTCTGTCCTCGGAACCCCACCCTACCCCCGCCTCGTGCAGCAAAAAGGGTTAGGGTTAGAACGGGAATCCCTTCCCCAGCCGGGGCCCTCCCAGTGCCGACCACCCCCCTAGATCCTCACCAGTGGAGGAGGTCTGGCCTCCTGATGCCACATCCCATAGGGCACCTTGATAGGGGGCGACTTGGTGACGGATGCTACTAGGAAGTTCATCAGGACATCCACACAGGTGGGTGCCTCATCTGCCAGGGTCCTCAGAGCCTTGGGCAGGGCGTGGGTGAAGAGGGTGTGGTAATACCTGGGTAAGGAGGGAGGAGCGGGAGAGGCTGTAGCCGAGTTAACCCCCCGCCCCAGGCCCCATTCTTCTCCCTCCTGACCTTACTCTCCCTTTGACCCGAATTCCCAAGCTTCCTGTGAAAGTCCTGCTCCCTTTTCAGCTGAGCTCTGTTAGCCTCAAAGAGCGCCCACCCCAGGTGTGCACCACTCTCCACTACTGTGTGCTCTGTGGCTTGTCTGCAGCCAACGGTGAACTCCCTGCCGCCTCCCTCACTGCTCCTTGGGGCCCCCTTCCCTGGGCTCTGAAGTCTGAACTCAGAGCCAGAATGAGGGGAGGATCAGCTAGCTCCAAGGCCATCAAACATGGCAGGCCAAAGACCAGCTTCAGGAAGGCTGTGGATTCACCCACCCCCAAATCCGAACACTGTCCATATCCTCTGCATGGCTCTACTTAAAATACAATAGCTGCTGGGCTTCCCTGGTGGCGCAGTGGTTGGGGGTCCGCCTGCTGAGGCGGGGGATGCGGGTTCGTGTCCCGGTCCGGGAGGATCCAGCGTGCCGCGGAGCGGCTGGGCCCGTGGGCCGTGGCTGTTGGGCCTGCGCGTCCGGAGCCTGTGCTCTGCGGTGGGAGAGGCCGCGACAGTGAGGGGCCCACATGCCGCAAAAAAACAAAAACAAAACAACAAGCTGCCATTTGTTGACTATCTGTGTGCCAAGGACTTCATGTATTTTAGTTTTTTTTTTGCGGTACGCGGGCCTCTCACTGTTGTGGCCTTTCCTGTTGCGGAGCACAGGCTCCGGACGCGCAGGCTCAGCAGCCATGACTCACGGGCCCAGTCGCTCATGCAGCATGCGGGATCTTCCCGGACCGGGACGTGAACTAGCGTGCCCTAGCATCAGCAGGCGGACTCTCAACCACTGCGCCACCAGGGAAGCCCTTCATGTATTTTTGTTATTTGATGATCATACCAGCCCTGTGAGGTGAATACACTTTACAGACAAGGAAACTGAACCTCAAGAGAGGTGACGAGACTTGCCCATCACAGCACCGGGAAGTGGCCTTGAACCTGGATCTCTGAGCTCTCGGCTGACTGCTGTGTCCACTCCCACGCCACCCTGCTCCTGGTTCAAAGGAGGGTTCTGTGGCCCTCTGAGCCCAGCGCCGGGGCTGGCGTCTGTACCTATGGTAGAAGGCAGCCGAGGTGAGAACCATGGAGAATTCGTTGGTCCTCTTGGCAGTGTAGCCCCAGCCACCACGGGCTTCATCCCAGAAGTGGCTCCACGTCAGAAAGCCGACCATCCGCTCTGGGAAGCTCTGCCACACCACAAAAGCGAAGTCCACCTGGGGAGATATTTAAGTAAGGTGTGAGGAAGGACTTCCTGCCCAGCCAGGAGCCTCCCGAGACATGGAGGCAAGGCCAGCCTGGCTGAGGGGACTCAGGGGAGAGGAGAAGGGAGCTAGAAAATTTCCAGGGGAT